TAAGGCACTTGTTACTAGAAGCGATGCACTTGTTCCTAGTAGCTTATGGTAGCATTGATAGCCAATCTTGTCAGCGCTAGTCACTAGTCGGCCAGAAGCGATCTCAATGATTAGCACCCGACACAGCCAGGCCTTTGACGGACGAGGAGTGGAAGGCTAGGCAGGCCACCAGGCAACCGGAGGCCAGATGTGTTCGAAGGATTTGCTCCAAGCATTTTGCGTTAGAGAGCTGTTTGGCATCCTGATCAATCACTTGCCCCAACAACTCTTGCTGACATGCAGCATCACAGGAAAATGACATGTCAAACAATGTGGATGAGAGGATGCCTCCAATGCCCTGGGTGGCACTGCAGTCTCGCAGTCATTCAACTGATCGTCAGTCATCCAGCCGATAGAACGTCATTGAATCAGACCTGCAGGTGTTCGCTCGCTCTCTCGGCAAGATTCTGGCAGAGAGCCAAGGCCACGCCATTGCTATTGAGTGAATGTGTCCCACGTTCCTTTGATGAGCGGCAAAAGTAGAGAAAAGGCAAGTGGCATATGCACACGATTGTGCCGTTCAGGGGCTGCAAGCCGTGCAGTGCTTGACTTTGTGAGTGGCAGTGGGCCATATGGCATCCCTCGCCGCTTGGATTAGTGAAGTCCGAGGGCTTCAGCTTCGGCTTGCTAGGCTCCACGCTAAGGCGCGACATAGCAGAACCTGAGCGATCAAAAAGTAAGTGAAGCCTAAGCAGAAGCCTTCCCGCTGTTGGCAGCAGATAGTCGCAGCCAAGCGCTGTCCCTTTTGGGCCGGGTATCAGTGGCCCATCTCCAAAGTGCACACTTTCAGTTTTTGCATGTTCATTGTCGAGCCTCTCGGGTCATTGACGGGGTTTTTGCCTCACCAGCGGCTCTTCCGTTGTTCTGACCGTTGCTGGAGTGATGCCTTCAGCAACTTGCTGCGAGTGAGCAGCTCGCACAATTTGGGAGCTCCTGCATCAAGCAAAGTAAAGTCCTTGAGCAATGGAATACTGTATGCAACCAACATGCTCAGCATACATGTGCATACTACATTACATGCAGACGGTGCAAAAAGTGAAAAAGTCTTTGAACAGTGACATAGATTGGTTGAGGTAATTATCGATGCAGCGATCTAGGACTCCTGGAGAGGTTGGCGACAGAGGGTCCTCCAAGAGGCCCACTCTGCATGCCCTTGGGAGAAAAAGGAATGAACGAAAGGAGTGCTGAGATATAAGAAGAAGAACCCATATGATATGATTCCATCATTTCTTATCAGATGACGTCGGGACGGGGACTATGTTGAACAGCATGTTTGTCTCGGACAGGCTGTTGGGTTTGTTGAGTTCTGGTCGACTTGCCAATATTCCGCTTCAAAACGCTGCGTGGTGCTCCAAGCACGGCGAAAACCGCTGTGCTTTTGACAACGGCGGACGCATGGACCTGCGACGACATGTCCAGAGCACGTGTGAACGACACATGGTGTTTCTACTTGGTGTGGAATGCATGAAGAATCGACGTAGAATGGACACGAATGGAAGTTGAAAGGTGCACCGAAAGATAAACTGCTTACACTACATGAAAGCCTTTGTCAGCTTTAGGAGTTACAAGAAGCTACTAAGACCTAGGAGCAAAGGGCATCGCTACTAGGAGCAAGAACGCTACTAGGGGCTCCTGGCCTTACTACTAGGAGCAAGAAGCTATGAGAAACAAGAAGCTGTTTTTTTTACAAATTTGAGTCTTTCGAATGTCAATTCGTTTCGGGTTGGTGAAGGTGTCGGCTCTAAGCCTCGGATTCCGAACGATGCCGTGCGGGTGAGTAAGCCATGACATGGCCACCATGGCCCCGTGACCGGCCTAGCGTTTTTAGGGTGAAGCAGTGCAGAGCAGGGACCAATTGGATAACATACAATATCATACAATAAAATCTGTTTGCATGTATATATAAATATACCGTATACATGCAGTATACATTCATGTACGAATTAGCAGCTTAGCTTAGCTGCTGTCTTTGGGGCTGGCCACGGCCTGCCATGGAAACTAGCACATCAACCATTGCAATGTTAGTCCACCATTGTCTCAACGTCATCGAGTTCTCGTCAGTTTTCAGTTCCCCCCAATTTCTGTTGGAGAGGCGCGCAGTGGATTTGCCTCCAGAGCTCCAGGACAGCCGCTTAACTTTGAACTGCGTGGAATTGCCTGGAACTTGGTGAACTGATATGAATTTCATACAGTGAAAGGAGGCAATCCTGGAATGCGATTGTTGAAGCCTCAGGGTTCTGGAAGGGTCGAGCGGGAAACATTGTGGAGGAAGAAGGAGGGCCTTGGAAAGTGCGGCCTTGGAAAGTGAGGGTCTTCTGAATTGTTCCATGCTTCTTCAGGCGAGAGTATCGTCACTTTGCTGGAACGGCATCCTGAGTGGAAAAGGACTCAGTTTGTGTTCGAGGCACGTGGTTTTCACAAAGGTGAGAATGGATGAGAATGGCATGTCCAAATTGAGAAAGACAACCGTAGGCCTCGGATCGCGGTGCCGTGTGAGCCTTAGACATTTGCCCTGCTTGCTGTGCACTGTTGCTCCTGGATGAGGGAAGTTCGACAGGGAGCTGGCTTGCAGACGTAGAATTTGTGCTCATTCATCGAGGCGAGTGGAAAACAGGTCACTGGTGGTCTCCTTGCTGCTGCTTTGCGTTTGAATGGTCACATGGAGCTGCTTGAGGCCTACTGCCACTGTTTGGGCTTAACGCTTTTGTTGTGCAGCACCCGAAGCACACAGACCGGACCTAGATTGTTCAGGCCACTTTTAGATGTTGGTAGAGAACTCACACTGGTTCCGGAATATAGTGTCCAGTACATGCCACACTAGCCTATGCAACTCGAAAAAAGCTGCATGCCGCATGCAATGAACACAATGGATGAGAGTCTGCACCGCTCTTGTGCGACAGCTTTATTCAACATAGCGTGACCATTTCTCGTTTTCAGGCGCTTGTGGAAGAGTGCAACGTAGTGGTGATCTTAAGCACCGGCTTTCCTGTTTCTACTTGGAGTTCCTTGGCTTTTGATGAAGCCATTGACGCTTTGGCCTAGGGGCTGGACATGCTCACCTACCATGTCGCGGGAAGCAGCCGCTCCCCGGCTGGAGTGCACAAAGCTTCAAGTGAAACAAAACCTGGTACAGCATCAAGTGCCATGCTCGAAAGGCGCCCGAAGGCCCCAGCTGTTGTCAGTGTCCAGTAGGCTGGCTGCAAATAGGATAAATAGGTATGTCGCTGCTTGGTGTGCAAGCTAGCGGGACCAGTGTTTGCTTCAAAATGTATGCCTTTTTGACAACAGGTAGTTCTGTGAGACACGGGGATTAGATCTGATAGTGGTGTGTCTGTGTGACGCTTTTTGATTAGGGCCTTGCCCATGTTGACTCATCCTCGCTCCAACACATTGAGCCATAGGTTCTTGCAGCAGTTGAGTTTCTTGGCCCTCCGGCCTGTGAATACAATTTTTACAGCACGGCTAACGGTTAACTCCAATTCTACTATACTGTATCAGGAGCAAGGACGCTACTAGGGGCTCCTGGCCTTACTACTAGGAGCAAGAAGCTACTAGGAACAAAGGGCATCGCTACTAGGAGCAAGGACGCTATATTTAGTCGCTCTTTCGACACCTCACTTCCTTACTCAGGTTTGCTGTGGTCGGGACCAGTGATCCATGATGCCATTTGCGCCGGCAGTGTGGAGGCTGTCAGGCTGGATCCCTCAAAGGATAATTCACACACATGCATAATATATATAACTGTGTATATATATATATATACATACATACATTCACACATACATTCATACGCGTGTGTGTGGGTGTGCGTGTTAATGGCTGGCGCCATGTTTGTTAGAGGTTCCAAGCAAATCTGTTTGATCGTTAGTCCTTTCTGACCTTTGCAACCTCGCCTTCCTTTGAACAAGTCTTCCCACATCTCGTTGCAGGTACCTTCTGGACCAAAGCGTGGACCCTCGGGCTGGCAGCACTTTTGGCGATGCAGATGGAGCAACACCCCTGTGGCAGGCCCGAGGGTAGTGTGGGATGTCTATAACGTTCTGTTCCTTGCTCGAGGCAACTGACGCAGGAAGGACTTGCATGGCAAACACTATATAACTGGCTCGCCTCTTCACCTACCTTTTTACATGCGTCTCCAGGCCAGCTTCAATGGCTTTGACAGTATTGAACCTTGCTTGCACATGGCCTGAAGTTTGGCAGCTAAGGGCTTGTCGACTTCTGAAAAACGTGAATCAAACCAAAGACAAACAATAACTATATATATATAGATCCCCACCACTGTTGAGACATTATTCGATTCTCCGGCTGAATTGTTTGATCCCCTTTCCTTGCATTGGAACGCGCAGGAGGGGTGGTCAGACAGGGTCAGACCAATGTAGCTTGATTTCCTTGGGACGACCGTCACCCCTGGGAGGGTTTGTCACCAAGGCGTGGTGTCAAAATGGCGGGGGACATTGGTGTAGAAAAACGTATGTGCAAAAGTGGAATGTCATGACGCTTGCTGTGAGCAAGCAGGACTATAATGAAGGTTTACATGTGTGAGTGTTTGAGATGACCTCAACATGTGGTCCCTGCAGTTGAGCTTTGAGGAATGGCTTGGGCTTGGGCATTGCAATTTGATGCATTGCATTTTCTTGTGCCCCTTCAGTAAGGGGTAAGAACATGTGAGGGGTTTTGTCGTAGAATTTGCTGCGTCAAGGTTTCTTTGCTCTTGGACCGCAGTGCTGCTTACGACATTGAGACTCCCTCCCCTTGGCAGGACCATCAGAAGGTTTGGCTTATTGGTGGGTTCCTGATTTGCAAACTTCAACTGGAAGAAATTGTTACTTTGCCCTAGGGTCTCGAGATGTTTGGGCGTCAGGACCGACCAGAACATCTCCTAACGCCTTTACACGTGGCTGCGCGGATGGGCCATGCACGCGTTGTGGAGGCGAGCTGATTGAACCCAAAATGTCAATCGGAAGCCCCCAATCATCCAATTGAAGCAACTTTCTTGGCCGTCCGGCAGTTGCTTGTTCATTTTGACTCTTGCTGCTTTACCAGGTTTTGATAGAGACCGGTGCCCAATACGTACTGTCCTTAACCTGGTGTCAAGTCTCTTTTTACAAATGATGTCAGCAAAGTTTTCTTCAACTGATGGGGCCTGGGTTGTTTCTTGTATCAAAAGTGTTTTTGATCACATAATTGACATAATTATTGTTTTGCAACGGTGCATTTTGCGTTTAGCCGCATGGAAACCCGTAAGGACACCAGGCGCTTGCTCCGGAATGGAGGTTCCTCACCCTTGCGAGATGCGTCTATCTCAGGAATGAAATGCGGATGCATTGAGAAGTACACCATGATCCAGCATGCACCGACAAGTGACAAGTACCAAGGCAATCCAAAGATGTCATGTCGAGGTGGTCAAGCTCCTCGTGTCCTAGCTGCAATCGAGTGAGATTGCTTTTGGAAGCTGCGAGTAGAGCTGACTTTTACAAACGACAATGGGCTTTTGCGATGGAAATTTGAATAAGTTTGCAGGCACAGACCCGTCAACTCCTGTTTCTAAGGAGCTCTGACACATTTGTACAGTTTCGCAGGGGGCTCACAGGTTTGTTCCTGGCGTGAGCCAACGAAGCTCCAGGTTCAGCCCAGGATATCGATCGACGTACGTGCAATTGTGTTTTCACCGAGGTGTTTTAAACAATACTGTTCAGGCTGACTTCTTCACCTTTCGACTGGGAGCAGGGCCTTTTCAGGTTTAGGCTCCAGCGCTCTAATCGGGTAATGCAGTAACTAGATCTAAAGTGCTAGCTTCACGAGGAAGTCGTAACTGACTTAGCCTTTGCGAGCATGGATGTAAGTGTGTATCGCAACAGGGTCCCACTGAGGTCTGTTGCGTGGACCCAGCTTTGGGCGCGTGTTGCACAGGCCCTCATGGGTGAACATTCACTGCCTATTCGGTTTGCTCGAGCACCACCGGCTCAGCTGCTTGCTCGAGATCGCTGACAATATGCCGCAGGGCCCACTAACAAACACCACGGAATGACATGCCAACTCATGCGTCTAGGTAATCATCCCCGTTCGTGCTGGGCGGATTTTTTCACCGACCATGTCCTTAAAAATAAATCCAGACCTTGAACTTTATCCACCACTATGTGTGGCTTTTAAAAGTCAGGGGGGGCGTCGCCATGAATTATCCAGGATACAGTCGCTAACATATCCTTTAGAAAGATCAAAGTTGTTATGATGTCAGGCTTTTTAGGTTGATGTTTAGGCTCGTTTCAGTCGATCCGCACTCCCGACCCCAACCCCCCCGCTTTCGTTTCTCTTTCTTGGCTTTTCTTCGAGTTAGAGGCTTTTCAGGTGCGTAACCAGGTTTCTTTAGTCAAGTGTTTGCCAGTTTTCCCCACGGTGCGCCGAAACGGCACTGTGTGCGTGCCAACTCCTGTTTCTAAGGAGCTCTGACACACTTGTACAGCTTCGCAGGGGGGCTCACGGGTTTGTTCCTGGCGTGAGCCAACGAAGCTACAGGTTCAGCCCAGGATATCGAGAAGGGACGCTCTCTCGACGTACGTGCAATTGTGTTTTCACCGAGGTGTTTTAAACAATACTGTTCAGGCTGACTTCTTCATTTGTCCGCTGCGAACGGGGCCTTTTCAGTTTTAGGTTCCAGCGCTCTAATCGGGTAATGCAGTAGCTAGATCTAAAGTGCTAGCTTCACGTGGAAGCCATAAACTGATTTAGCTCTTTGCGAGCATGGATCTAAGTGTGTGTATGTGTGTTTTTGACCTGATTTGGCGAGTAGCAACTGCATTTGCACACGGGATCCTGTAGCAGTTGCTGTGGTGTTCTGGCACCAGACAAGGTTCAAAAGGATGCGACCGTGTCTCAGCGGCAAACAACGACTTGTTGGATTGGTTCACTTCAATAGCAATGGCCCTGACTGGCTGACCATACTTGCAAGATTACCTATACCAGCCCATAACAACAAATGCTGCTTGGTGCCAAGGCTTCTTGTGCCGCGACGCTACCTCTAGCAGAATCTAGCAGATTTTGCTTGGCATTGCATCTTAGGTACCAAGGAAAGCCCTATTCGAGTTCAACAACGAGGCAAGGATTTGTGCCACCAATGGCAATGTCGATGAGCCAGCGCCGGCGAGTTTCTTGCAGTGTTTCTTGGTTTTTCCTGGGGTCAAACTTCCAGAGCCAAGGCACTCACACAAGAGATCGTCAGAATGTTTTGTGTTTGGAAAGTTTGTTAAGCACCTGCAGGATTCTCAAGACTTGGTTTTAGTGTAAACTGATGACATGCATGTATTCCTTCATAGCTAAGACAGAAGAGAAGATGGAGAGATGTTGACGTTGGGGCCTCGGCAACCACCAAGAAACATCCACTTGTTGAACAAGAGCAACTTGTGGTCTTTGTAGGGCAACTATGCTGTGATAGGCACTTCAGCCAAAAGAAGCAGCAGAAGTGCTGCAGCGACATGTCAAGGCCTTGGTTGATGCCTGCATAAACTGTTGCTTAGACAATTAGACAATCGACCTTGAAAAGTGCAGATTGAAGCGCTTCTGAGGCCAGGTCAGGAGAAACATCTACATGGTGTCTCTTGCTGCACGCTTGCAAGACGGGGGGTCATGGGGGATCGTGCGGTCGATCTTAGTTGGCGATGAGTCACGTAGTCTCCGTTGTTTTTCCTCAACTTGCAGTAGGGCCTTGTAGTTTGGCAAGCGAGGGAGGCTGGTTCAATGGTTTGTTATATGCATAGAGGGTACACAAGGGAGGCACAAAGCATACATGACTTCAATCATTTGCGGGAATATCACCTATTGTCGGCCATCCGCCTTGCTGTCAGGGCGCAGCTTTGTTCCGCAAGACTTCAGAGCAACACCATACACCACAACATTGCCATTAGCGCTGCTGAGATGCTCAGAACGCAGCTTGAGTGGGCGGAGACAGATTACTAGCCAAGTGACACAAGAGCCTTTGATCAGGAAAAATGTCCTGAACAGTCCTGCTTGGCTTGCTTTTGATCAATTGAAGGAAAGTTGGCGACTGGCGGCTTGCCAATTCCTTGCTGTGGTCCATTCTGGAGGTTGGGTGTAAATGTCTCATATGTTTTTTAAATAAGAGGCTAGAAGGGTCGGTTTGAGCATTACATTGGGGCTTTTGGCTGGCAAGAAAAGACTGGCCACCCAAGACAAAAGTTGAAGCAGAAGCACACAGCAGGTCGAGTTGGCACTGAGCAGGGTGAGACTCTTGTCAAGCATTTTGATACACAGCGGGGTGACCATTTTTGTATTACTCTTGGTGCGGGAGCCCTGAAGGCTTGCAAATCTGGCCTTTTTTCAGTGCAGCCTTATTTCAGCAACTTTTCGTGTTCCAACAGTGTAGCCTGAAAGCATTCCAGATTCGCTTTGGGGAAGTCACAGTCCGCTGTGCTCACGAGGCTTCAATACTGCGATCAGCGCCTGTGACAAATGCCGCCAGTGGCAAATGGCCATGGAACTTTTGCGCAGGATGTCAATATGTTCCAACACTGCTTTGTGCGACGTCCTTCCAGTCTGTCACAATCAGAAGCAGTTTTGGAAGTTCTTGTTGTCTTGGCAGCCTGCTTGCAGATGTCTTGTTTGACACTCTGGTCTCGGAAAATGCGGTGCAGGACACTCCAGCCGGACTCCATTAGCTTCTTTTGCGCCATGAGATCTGAACGTTGGTGGGACACGATGTGTCTCTTCCATGAGATGTTGATGACGAGGACCCCGGAAACAAGACGGCAAACAATGAACAGCCATGAAAGGACATACCTGCCATTTAAATGTGGATGTATCCACCACCGCTCATCGTATGCAAGGCTGCTCAGATGTTAGTTGGTCATGCAGCTGTTATTGCTGTGACACTTTGCACACTCGGCTTTGAATACAGCCTTGGGGTTGATGCTCACGTGTTCGGAGCCGCTGAAAATGCTGACTCAGGTAGGCTAGGACAACACATGTCCACAGATACTATGTAGCTGATCTCCGCCAGTCCCAACTTTTCTCAGTCGTGCTCGGGAAGTCACAAACAACCCATGGTACCAGCTGTCAGGGTGCAGCCAGACTGCACAACAAGCAACATGGTTCTAACTGCAGCTGCGGATGCGGTGAATTGGCAGCGTGGCATGGATTTAGTTGTTTTGACACTGTTTTCATCGATTCACTGCTGTTAAGGCGACTTTTGTTGCTCACACGTGACGAAGTCGGTATGAAACCTAAATCATCCAGACAACTTACAATCCACACGGAGCAGTGCGCAGCATTTGCACCTTGCAGACTCAGACTACTGAGCACGGCGCCTGCTGCAGGCAGCACGTCATGACACTCTTAGACACTGCAGTGGTCACTGCCGCAAATCTTGATGAGATCAGCTACTGGTTGACGAGGTTGAGGATATGCACAGTGCACGCGTTCTTCATGCAGAGCACCTGAGAGATTGATTGACAGTTCATGGAGCAAGTTCTACTCAGATTGAAGCTGGTTGAGGCTTTGCGATTGGAGCCAACGCCTTGGAGCGCAGCAAGCGTTGGCAGCATTCTTTGCAGCTCCACCGCAGCAACGCGAATAGCCAACACTTGAGAGCTTTGGTCAGTGCATGTGCAGAGGCGGAACAAGAGAGAAGGTCCTGGGACGAGACATTTCGTCTTGAAACGCACAGGCGAAGGCCTGGCAACGTGCTATTGGCATGTTCGGCCTTTTGGAGGCTTGAGACCGAGCACAAAGAAGCATGGGGGACTATAAACACTTTTCAATTGTAACATGCAATTGTAAGATCTTGACGCAGGGGCCACAGGGGCTGCAGCTGAACATTTTTCACTGCAGTGCATTTGTGACGGCTCTTCAGCAGAATTGGCAAGGCAGGGCCACTGGAGAGTTTAAACATTGCAGCCAAGCCTCGTTGGTTGTCATGTCAAAGCACCCAAAATGCTTTGCTATAAGAGCTCAATTTTGGTCAGGTGCTGCAGCCTTGGTTCAGCGGATGGGCTTCCTGGGCATCTCTCAGATTCTTGGACTGTAAGCTCTTTGATCCAAAGCTTGAGCTTTCGGATGTTTCAACCGCCGATATGTATATTTAGATATGCCACAGGAACGTCTTCAGCTGCGGTGCAATGATGGAAGCATGCACTGCAAGTGCATGGCAGCTTTCACTGTCCACCTTAAAGTGGATGTTGGACACTGAGAGCTCAATTTGTTCAAACATTCGGCTTCATAACTAGACCTGCTGGCATCACATCAAATGAAAAAACTCAGTGTATGGACTCGCTTCTTCAGGCTTAAGACCCGCCTCTCGCCTGATGAGTTTGGAGCTGACACTCGCCTTGCAGCCTCCAGAAGGGCAGGTTGGCAAAGTGCCATGGTGGCCCGAGGGCCAAGACTCAAAGACGGGAAATAAAGACTGTTGCAGCCAGACAAGAAGTCAAAGTCAAAGCATCAGTGTGGTTAAACCAGTTTTTGCATGTGAGATCGCTGTTTGACCTCGGTGACATGTTTTCACATTGGATTTGTGCCGGTGTCATCGATGTGCAACCTTCGAGCTTGCTCAGAAAACTGCCTTTTTGTGCCACATTGCATTGCGAAGGGGTGAGCTTTTTTGGTCCTTTTTTGGTGTGTGCTTCTTGCATTACAATTCTACTGCATAATTAATCAAACCATACCCTTTAGAAATGCAACCATCAAGAATGGTGGCAAAGCATGTTGTGGCCCCGTTGCAATACCAGAGTCACCTCCGTTGCAACACCAGGGTCATTGACAGCTTTGCCTCTAATTCTTTGTAGGGTGTTTTCCCGTGTTGTTGACAAGCGTTTCCAGGCCTTGACAATCAACGCCTCGACGTTGAACATTGCTTTGGCCGCACAACTGCAAGTGTGCAGCACAATATTGCCGATAAACATTGTTATCTTCAAGTTGTTTGGCCGCCCGTTCAATTGTTTCCAGCAGCACCTTCCTTCAATAATTTTGTCGCTGTTGTTGAAGGTTGCGCGCGCAAAAAAATATACAAATCTGTGTTTGCATCCGTTAGGAATCCATGCCATAGTTCCTACTGCTCACACAGCAGTCTTGATGGTGATGGAGAGAGAGAGAGTGAGTGAGTGAGTGAGTGAGTGAGTTCCTCCTGCATACACCGACTCTTCCATCCTAAGCAGACCTCCCTTCCACTGAGGGCAATGTCGGCCTGGGTTTGTCGCTGACCACTCTGGAGAAGGCATTCTCTCACTGGGGACCGGGGACAGCACTTTTGCTACTAACGAAATGCCATGCGAGAATGATTGTGGAAACATGTGTTCCGTGTTCAATTATTCAATTGCTGTCCTTTGCATATGGTCATATGGGTGTCGCTCTCCAGAATTGATGCCTGAGCTGAGCAGGCAGTGCAATGGCTCCATGCTTTGGATTTGCTGGACACATTTGCGCGAAAGGCGCTTCGATACAATGTGTGGGCCTTTGAATCTGAACCAAGTATGTAGCAGGATGAGGAGCAGACAAAGACAGAGAACTGAAAAGCCCTTGATGATTGAAATTCACACTGCCTACGGAATCAGCACACTGCTTTACTGCTGCTTTTGTTTGCTCACCTTGGTTTTTTTGGCCTCCACAGTGAGTACTTCGAGCTGAGGTGATCAACACAAATTCCTTGATCAGTTGCTTGGAGAAAGTGGGCTACTGGCGACAAGCCTTGCCATTGTTGTTCCGCATGGGGCAGGCGTGGTGCTAAAGTTGCTGAAGCAGAATGATGCGTTCTTTTGCATGTAAAAACACATGGCAGAAGCAATACTATATAATTCTAATTTAATTCTAATAGCAAACATTGTTACTACTAGTAAGGCACTTGTTACTACTAGCGATGCACCTGTTACTAGTAGCGAAAAAAACACCCTTGGGCCTTTCAGACTCGACACCGATTTCCGAAAGGTCAACCTCCTTCCAGACACAGTCAGCTGCAGTGCCACTGTTTCTGCTTGCGAGGAACAAGGCAGGCTACAAAATGAAAGATACATCATGAAAGAGAGAGAAAGAGGGAGACTAGCAGCTAGCAGTAAGCTAAGCCTTTCAGAAGTTTTAGATTTCAGATGAAGGGATCGTGTCCATACCCACTTAGTGACAAGTGTGTGTGTGTGATGTGTCTCGTGTTTTCATGGCTGCCCATGTCCCCAGGGCGCTGGCGGGAGGCTGCGCATTTGTCCTCAAAACAGGTGCAACCGAGATCCGATGATTGATGAGTGATGAGAAGACACAGGAGTACATGCACGAGTGTGAGTGAAGAACATGTTTGCATATACACGCCCTCCATTATGATTGAATAAAAGTGTTACAGTGAGTGCCGATCCACACTCTTTGTTGAGTCTTATATAGATTCATGTGCTTCACCTTTTGCAATTAATCTTGTGAGATTTTGTGATACCCCAACACTCCCCAACATGCTTGGTGCCTCTTTCCACCTTGCAGAGTTTTGTGCGTATCTCAGGGCAACTCATTGATGGTGTTTGCTGGTGCAGTCAGTGCAAGTGAGAAGGCTTTGCGGTGGCCACGAGCATTGCAGGTTCTGTCGATGCCCGGGTCTCAAGTGCCTGTCGGAGATCCACCGTTTGAAGGTTTGATGCTAGATCTTGGAATCGTTTCAGCTGTGAACCAGAAAGTATAATGTCATTATTTTTTGAAGCTGAATAAGCGCGTGCATTCCTGTCCTGAGGATGCCACAGCTCCGTTTAACAGCAGACCTGGTGACTTTCAACGCGACTTTGCGGGCCTTGGAACGGGGCCTTTGCTGGCAAATGGTTCTGGAGGTCTTTGAGGACATGCCGAAGGCACGCAGTATCACGCCACTTGCCGAGACAAACAGCGAAACCGCACATGAAGTGTTCACTAGGGTGATCACTCAGTCGGAGTCATTTTGAGGCTGCTACGTGCGCCTCCGATCACTGTGTTTCTCCCTGGGCGGTCCTTTTTTAATAATTCATTGATTCATTGTTCTATTTGTTCCGATGGATTGTTGGTTTTTCTTTGGGAGCTTGCAGGTCAATGCGCTTTGTTAGTTGGACGCCTGTGGAAGTTGCAGTGGTCAAAGGGTCCGCACTTTCTGCTTTTGGTCAGGAGGGCGTTGTGCCAGACGTTGTTGCACACAACAGTGCTTGCCTGGCAAGCGAAAATTCTCCAGATTGTAGAGCAACCCTCCTTCTGATGCAAGAACCTTGGAGGCAGTAAGAGAGCGGCCAGACCGCAGCGTGCCAAGTTCTAGAGGTTTTTTACTTTGACCGATCGCTTCGCACTACCGTGTTTATAAGTTGGCACTGGAAAGCTGACGGACTTTGCAGGGATTGTTGGATGTGATGATGGTCAATGGGATGAAAAGTAATTCTAATCCAAGGCGGCTGAGAGTCATGCAGTTTCATCACTGGTGCCACCGAGAATGCGCAAAATGGTTCTGGCTTATTCAGAATTGTTTTGTCGGCACATGGGCGGCACGCAGCTCATTTTTGAGCAATGCTTGCTTTGCCTCCCTCAAGTGCGGCGTGACCATTTTTGACTGAACAGAATATGGACTTGTGGACACATGTGACGTGACAAGCGCACCGCTGTTTTGTCAGCCATGTCCAAAACATGGACTGGAAAGCCATTCTAATCTCACAGGATCACGTAGATCTATCATAGAACGCGGCAGGCAAGTCGTTGCAACGTTCCTTTGCCATGAGGGTGCAGCTGCATCCTGGCAGTACACGCAACGATGTGGCCGTGGCTGTGAGCTCGCTGCTGCCCGAGTGGCAGCGACAGCCCAAGCAACTTGACAGAGTCATCCTGTTCATGTGCTTCTGCTGGATGTCTTGAATAAGCCTAGGCAGGGCAGGTAATTACTCGTGATTAGACTTAAGCATAGTCTTGGACACTGAGTCAGGGTAGTGGAAGGTCAGTGGAGTAGTCAGTTTAAGGTTTGCGATGCGGACGCTGAAGAACCTGTCGCAGGCACAACCAGCTTTGATCACGCAGAATGTAGATGTGATTAATTCCCAGACTGTCCAAGCTAATTCGACAACCCCGTGGCCGAAAGGGCACTCATGTTTGAATTGCTCTTTGTGATTCCGCTGGACACATGCTCCTTATGCTTTGCTTATGCTTGCTCTCATGTTTACATGTTTTCACGATACCAGGCATAAGGTGCGGAGCCGAGGCGAAGCTTCCTGGTGCTGCTTGGCATGTCCTACAGATCATGGAGGAGGCGTCCATCGAAACCAACGTGTGCCTTGTTCAGACACTATGTTTTGAGTGCTGCTGACAACCGAAAGTGAGATCTTGCGAATATCGTAGTTCAAGAGAAATGCAAGAGGTTCCACTACAGCGCCGCTATCAACGCTTGCGAAAAAGCAGGGGAATGGATGCTGGCACTCGCAGTTGTGGTAGGCATGCAAGAGAAAGAAGTGATGCCAAATACAGTCACCATGAATTCTGCAATCAGTGCATGTGAAAAGGCAGAGGAGTGGACTTGGGCCTTGCACTTTCTGGATGCGATGCCAGGGACAAGCCTTACCCGAGACGTGATCAGCTATACGAGCACCATGAATGCGTGTGCAAAAGCCTTCCTATGGGAAACCGCGCTCCAACTGTTCGACTCCATGTCTTTGGAAGCGGTTGTCCCAAACACGAGAACTTACAATGGAGCAATTTCGGCCTTTGCTCAAGCTGGGAGATGGCGACCAGCTCTTCAAATGCTGGATGTGATGGCTTCACGAGCACTGAAACCAAACACCTTCAGCTACAATGCTGCACTCAATGCGTGTGACAAAGGAGGGCAGTGGCAATGGGCTATTCACCTCCTGTTCTACATGCAACAGCACAAGGTGCCGCTTGACCACGTATCCTATTGCACTGCCATGACAGCCCTGGCACGTGATGGCCATTGGATGGAGGACCGGTGCGGGGGCAACCAAGTTGTTGAAATGCAATCAGACCAGGATCATCATTGAAAGATCAAGGTGTTTTTTCAGTGCTATTCATATTCATTTGGGACAAATGAAGTCATGTTTGCTTCATCTCAAGCTGTTCAGGCGATACTGTTGCTTGGCACGATGCCACGGCCCACAGCAGCAGCCTTCACTGCAGTCATCTCTTCTTGCGAACGAAGCAGCCAGTGGCAGGCATTTTTTACAGGATGCATGAGTTGATCGTGCCACAAACACCCATATATTAATATGCATATTATCATATTGTATAACTGTATATTCTAGATATGCAAATATTATATATTATAAAAGGCGGGAAGGGGCAGGGAAATATGCAAATGTGGAATGTTGATGAATCATTTCCATTTCATGTACTGTACTCTCTTGTGTCGTGTGCTTTGAACCTTGTATGGTAGGCATGCATGAACTACAGTATATAATTATAATATTACATTGTCAATGGTACTTGCCTGAAACAGGCACATAGGCACACACTTATAGAAATGCGTACTGACTTGACAACGGTGCCACACGCCAGCCTAAGAAACCAAATCCTGGAAAAACCAGGTAAGGGGGGGCCTGAGCGCCTTTAGCTAAAGGCCAAAGGCCAAAGTTCCAAAACCACGAGGCGACGAACAGGTCGAAGTGACGGCGGTCGCTCTTGTCTGCGGAGTCCATTAGACCTTTACGGAAATTTAAAAAGTTGAAAGTTTAAGCAGGTACAAGTGGTTGATCAGACCACTCATCCACCGAAATGCCACAGCTTCGTTTGACTGGATAGGCAAATCGGCTCCAGTCCCCCTGCTATCAAACAAGGTAAAAAGTCAGGCAGAACATTCCGAAAGGATCCCTGTGATTTCAAGGGTCACACACACACACCAGCCACTTAGTGCATTGGTGCTTTTCACCTTCGTCTCACTCTGTCATCATCCCTCGCTCTCCCGGACTCCCTCCTTTTGGGGTGTGCACTGCCACGTCAGGGGAATGAAACAAAAGGGAAATGTAAATCATCAAAGCGTCATTAGAGTGCTACAAACGCTCTGGTTTTGGTGGTTCCTGGTTTCGCCAAATCCTCCACAGTCAGTCCGATTCTGCGAAGTTCGTGTTCCCAATGTCCTGTGTTCACCCGAAGCACCCCACAACCCTAAGCATCCTAAGCAAAATAGAGCATGCAACTGCAAACCTGAGACCATACTAACAGTATGGCTCCAAGCCACATCAAAACCCAGGCTTGGCCCACCCAGCCTTTTCTCACTTATCGCGTGATCCATTTCTTCCAATGTAGTTCAAGAGTCATGACCGAAGGTGAGGTGAGTCTAGATGTGACCTGTAAGTTATTTTTTTGCATTGCAGCTCTATCTCGGCTGAATTGCTATGGGTGAGTCTATTGTGAAGTTGCTGCAAGTTTGATGCACACTCGTCACACCTGAAGGTGGCCCTAGATGTGTTGTTCTCAGATGGCACCTCAGCAGCACAGCTGGCCGGAAGCCTGTCATGTGAATAGTATGCGAATGCTCCAAGTGGTCCTTGGATGCCCTTGGCTGTTTAAAGCTGTTTGTCGACTCACAAGGACACGCCCATTTGATGCCGTACAATGCTGCTGCCAGCGCCTGTGAAAAGGGTTTCTTGACTGATTGTAATCTGAACGTTTCAAATATGTTTCAATCACCTTTTTAGGATCAAGTAAACAGGAGATTGAAACACTGAGTGTGGATTTGTGCGGCCACTCAAGAACTCTCTTGCCGTTGCCCCATGCATCCAGGAACACAGTGGCCGATGGCGCTGCATTTGTTCGCTTCTGCGCATACAAGAACTTTGCGGGCGGACTTTTGGGCAAACTACAGAAAAAACAGATTGTCACCCTATGAAACGGATTCGAACGTGTTTTTCCGTTCAGGCCTCCTTCCCGCATGTCCTGAAATATTGGCTTGGCTCGTGAGCACTTGTTTTGTCCAATTTGATTTTGACTACGAAACTGAGGATGTTGGCACTCTGAATTCTGTGATGGTTGCATGTGAGAAGGGGAGCGAGTGGGAGAGGGCCTTAACAGCCTTGCAGCTTTTGCCACTGGAGGCTGTTGACACGACTCAAATTGGCAAATAATGAAGGTAAAACAAGTATTATCTATATAGGTCCTAGGCTTTTGGAAAGGGTACACCTTGCATGCAGTGCTTGAACCCCCCTGTCCCCCAATCAGACATGCAGCGCCGCGCCTTCGTCAATTTCCCTGCGTCAAAAGGAGGCAGATGTCTTCGTTCTCACCACCGCCCTCAGTGCCATGAGTCGTTCAGGTTCCCTTTGGGAGGGTGCTTTGGAACTACTATCGCAGGCTCGCAGCCTGACCATCCCTCCCAATGCCAAGAGCTTTGGCGCCGCACTGAGTGCATGCAAAGAACACTGGGAAGCATCACTTGCACTTCTGGAAAGCATGCAAAAAGTTGAGGCGGGAAATGTTTGGAAGCCAACATTGACCACAGCATTGATAATATCTTGGCCTTGACCAAGATACCAAGACAGACAGATTCCTACTTTTTCCGGAGACTTGGGACCGACAGGTGGAGCCTGGGGCACCTCATATTGGCGTCGTGGCTAGAGCACTGAAGGGCTGCGACGTGGAGGGGTTTCTGGAGGTCTTCCGCCGCAAATGGGCGAAGAGGGCGAAGCAACAAGATCCAAAATTGGAAGGCACACATTTCTATGAGCAAATTGCAACCTTTGGCAATCTCATGCTGGTTCCTGTGCTGTCGTTAAGGCATTGCCTTGTAGTTTTGCCTCGTCGTCAGGCTCTTCAAGCACTTTGTTGGGTGTCCGACATGGAGTGATTGGAACTAACAAGCCCCCTGACATGGAAACAGAGGTGGTGGGCTCAGTCTGAATTGCACCTTTTGTGCCGTAATGCGTCACAATCTATATAGTTGTTAATTATTCGTTGCATATGCTATTTTGCGTAATGGGTTGTGCCGATTCTTACGAGATGATTTGACCACTGCTTGACAACTTGTCAAAAGCTCAAGCTGAAGTCAAACATTGATCTCTGATTTCCGGCTCACGAATCTTCACGAGTTATATGTTCTGTTCATGTCTTCTCTGTTCAGGCTTTTGTCGCACAACTTTCGAGGGAATTGGGCTTCTCACTTTACACTGCTTCACGCCTGGATTACCCAACCTCTGGAGCATTGCCCGTGGCCTTTGGAGAGGGCTCGGTCACAAACTCAGTACCCGATCAAGTCTGTTTCAAAGCTTGAGAGGCCATTTTTGCAGCTCATTTTAGCCCAGTGAGGTGGACTGGCTGGAGGTGCAGTTTGCCGCCCGTTCAGTGGAAAAAGAGTATTTGTGCGTTTGTGAAGGTCCGCCTTTGGATTCTGGAGTTGTGGAGTTGCCCCTTTTTACAGACAGGTATGAGAGGGGTGGTGCGCGAACGGTCGTGTGCACCAAGCGCGGACTGCCTGCGCGAACTGACTATGAAGTGATCTCCAAAGTGACCGCAGAAAGATCCAATGAATCCAATGTCTCTGGGAATGAGATAATGTTGGTGAAGGTGAAGCCGCTCACAGGACGGACACATCAAATTCGTGTGCACATGGCAAGCTTGGGGAGGCCAATACTTGGAGATATGACGTACGGTCAAAAAGAGCGTTCGTTGATCCCAATGCGGCGGTTGTTCCTCCATTGCAAGAAGGTTGTGGTGAGAGATTTGGCAGGAGAGGTGTTCACCATTGAAGCCTCCCTGCCCAAGGATTTGCAACAAATCCTTCAATCAATCTCCCTGTGTTTTTCCGACTAGCGGCAGACCGCTAGAATTTGTTGGAAAGCTGGATGGGCTGGTCAATCGAATGCAGACGCAAAGTGCTGGCAAAAGTTGGCATGTCAAAGCCAAGCAATGATGAAGCTGCCTGAAGTTAGAGTGGTAGTCCTTTGGTGCAGGTTTTGTCAGGTTCATTTCTAAACTGGAAACTGGTAGAGTCGATGAGACTATCCTCGTGTGCTTAGACTGTTGAATCATATTGAATATCAAGAATCTCAAGTCGAGTACTGTATTGGAAGTTGACCGACAGACAGCCGTCAGCAGGTCACCATTGCTGCTGTAGCGGAAGGTCTAACGCAAGCATCCAAGCAGGTGCACTTGGTTGTGTCGAATTTTTGAACGACGTTGAACGGATTCAAGTCTTCAAGCTTGTTCTACAGTATAGATTGCTAGGGCAGAAGTTCGATAAAAGTCTTAGCCCTATGTCAATATGTTTTAGATTGTTTTGGTAGAGTTGGGGATGCCTCCCCCACAGCTGAAAGCTTTTGGTGGGGGTCCTTCCTTTCGAACCAGGCCCTGATCGCAGCCACGGGCCATGTTGGAACATGCTGGAACCTGTATAATCCTGTGACTCTGAAACCCTTTGATCGAACCGCGAACCCTTCGATTGGCCAGACTCAGGTGGTCCGAAATCAATCAATAAGTATATAAATCGCAACTGCTCGCCTGGAACCAAAGCAGTCGTTCTGCTTGGCTTTGCTTATTGGATCCAGACGGCCTCGTGAGCTTTCTTATCACAAGTGTCCTTTGGTGTCTATGCTTGTGTGATTTCTTGCAGTGCTTGTCGCTTGAGTTTAGATTTCAGTGTGAAACAGCCTGGGGAGGCAGTGAAGGGCTGCTTACTGCCGGTGGCGCTTCAGCCGAGAGTTGCAATTCTCTTATTTTACATCCATAAGGAAGCATGAGACTGTGGGCCTTCACTACTCTGCCTTGCTAAACGATCCAAGGTTGAGTTTAGTTTCTCGAAGCCCGATAACAACAATTTTGCAAGGACTCTTGCGCCTTCACTGCCAACTTAGGAGTGGCTGGGGATGTTCCTGAGGACCCCTGGGCATGCTCCAGCCGAGATCCCAGCTTCACGTCCTGAGAAATCTTCAACTGTCCATCATATATACAATATAATATAATGCAACCATATGCCAGCGATGTCAGCAGCTTGGCTGAAACGTGCAGGGCGAGGGATGCCACATAGCACAAAATGCATGCACAGTTGAATGCCCAGGCGCACATTCTCAATGCGATTTTTCAAAGCCATTCGCTGAAGTATTTCGACTTCGAGAACCAGCGGCAGGACGCCCACAGCTTAAAGCATGCAAAGCCTTTGGCTGACAGGGTTTATCAGCTGATAGATTTCGGATTCTGATGGAACTGTTTTTTTTTCTTGGATAAGTGTGGATCAACTTTGTACTGCCGAGGCGAACATGGCCCACTTCGAGAACAGCTCTTACTTGAATGTCAAGGAAGGTATGCCATTCGAGGAGACAGTGAGTCGTCACCAGTATGCCACACGGATTTCGCGGGGCCAATTCAACAAAACCTGGAAGCGTTGAATCAGGCTAAGCTAGAGCTCGTGCAGGGCATTGCAGGGCAACAACAACTTCAGGTCGTCATTTTCCAACAAGCATGAAGTATCGGTCAAGTCCGCTACACTTGCCCATTTTTGATGCGCAGCATTGTTGTGCTTCCAGAATAGAACTCCTGAAGGAGTTTAACGACTACTTCGTGAGCAGACAGCAGATAGGCAGATTCATGATATATGATGTGCAAATGCCCTAGGCCCATAGGATCTCCCAACCCCAGGCTGCATGCTAGCCATGTTTCCGCGAGTTTAACAGCTAAGAACTGCATTTGATAATTTTTGTCAGGCACAATGACACGGTTGCACAACCTCCACTCCAGAAGCCCACGCAATACTCCGTTCAGGTAACGAAGGAGTGCGACTCTTGCGCGGCTTGGGAGTTGATTTTTCACGCAGGAGAGATGTGCGAGTGACGGAACTTCTGCGGTCATCACAGCCAAACGTAGAAAAGTATTATGTGGCCCAGTTTGATTTACCTAAAAGCTTGAACTGCAGGAGTCAAAGGGCAGACCCTTCGCAAGATGAGGCACGCACAAGCACACAACAGAATTACTTCGCTTTGAACGGCTTGAAAGGAGGTCAAAGCTTCCAAACTTCTTGTGAGTCCTTGTTTTCCTCCCTTCCTGCTTCTCAGATTTTTTTCCAGGTGGAGCACTACGAATGGGACTACGCCACTGGTGCTC